GTCAGGGCTGGTATCAGTTCTCCCTCAAGCCTAACAATTTTTATAAAAATCACAGCACCACCACTCCATGTAGCCCTCACAGATACCAGCCGCCTGCAAATCACAGGGGATGGAGAGAGAACGACAGGCCTGACTTCCTCTGGGGCCAGGCAGTGCCTCCTGGGCAGAGGCGGCCTCTCAGCACCACTAGCTTAGCTGGACACCTGCAGCAGCAGGGGCTCAGGGCACCTTTGTGGAGCGGAAGCACCAGTGCAGGGCCCTCACCCCCGTCAGGCCCTGTCCACACAGCTGACCCCCCTGGCAGGATAAGCCCCACTGGGCCTGGCCTGACTCAGGTGCGGCCAGCCTCGGTGCAGTCTGCCTTAGAAGAGGGCGGGTTGGGACTATTAGCCCGGGATCCAGAACCAGAACCAAAACTGCGTGAGGGATTGTCATGGGTGAGGCTGCAAGGGAGCATGTGCCCGGCGGTGTGCACCCACTTGCTGAGGGTAAGGCAGAGAGAAGCAGCGGGGTCCTGGCTGCCTCTGCTGCCATCCTGCCGCCCTCTCCCTCTGTGCAGAGAAGGAGCTCGGGTTGCTGCGGCGAGAGAACCGTAAGAACACGCTGCTGTCTCTGGCCATCTTCGTCCTCCTGAGCCTCATCTACGTCTGCTGGACCACGTGAGCCCTCGCAGGTCCTCCCTCCTGTCAGACCACTCGGCCCTCCTACCTCAAGAGGACCAAGGGGCCGGGCGCACTTCTCCGGGCACCTTCCTTCTCTGTCCAGCCGCTGGGAGCCCCACCAACTGGCCCTCTGGCTGCCGTGGGCCTGGGTTTCCTCCACAAAGCCACTGTGCTGGCTTCTCCTGCCCCCAAGGGAAAGGCAATAAAGCGTGCCAGGCTGCGCGGTCGGCTGAGTAAATGTCACGCTCCGACTGTGGCGGGAGGGGCAGTGCTAGGGAATTTAAGGGAGGAGGTGGTTCACGGGAAAGCTCTTGGCTTAGACTTGGAGGGAAAGAGGAGGGGGGCTGTGAAGGTGAGCCCCCACTTAAATGGCAAATAAGGAGGGAGACGGGGGGAAGCACTTCCCAAGCTACAACTCTTGTCAGGAGCCTCTTCTAGGGCTCTGAATTGCTGGGGCCACTGGGCAGCCCCCTATAACCAACTAGCACCAACCCCCCTTCCCAACACACACACACACGCTGCCTTGCCCTCAAGTCAATGCCACCGCCTATAATCATGGCAGAACAATGCAGCCTGCACAGCGTAAGGCAGCCTGGGATCTGAAGTGGTCATGAGGAGGTCCCAGGGGAGTGGAGTGTGGGCTTCATCCGTCTTTGAGAGGCAAGTGGGGCTGGTGAGGCCTCCAGCGAGCGAGTGGGCAGTAAGAGCCATGGTAATGACCAGACAGGCTGATGGTGACAGTGGCCGGTAAATTATGCGGTTTGCAGTGAGAAGTGGGGCTGGGAAGGGAGCTGCAAACACAGACATCACCCACTGCCAGAGCCTGCCCTCTGCTCCTCTCCAGATCAGGGTGGGGGGGCGGGGCACCGAGGGCTGGAGCAGGGCCACCCAAACCAAGGTCTTTGGGGGTTGCCGAGATTAAGTCAATTAAAGTCAAGTCACTTGAAGAGGAGCTAAATGAGGGACCCTGGGAGCCAGGACTAAGGAGTGCAGGCTGGACTGGGGGGGTGGGGGTGCAGAGTGGAGGGGCCTAAAGGGAAAGGGAGCCATCAGCATGGCCAGGGGTCAGCAAACCCGTCTCTCCCTCCCCACTTCCCCCTGGTCTAGTGACACTAATTGGTCTGACACCTCTGTTATTTTAGTCACACAGGCTGATCCTGGACTGTCACAGTGTCACCACGGAGTGAGCTGTGTGATTCATGGAAGGGGCAGTGCCTCCTGCCCCGCTGGCGTGTAAGCCCATCCTCTTCCTTTCCCTACAGCTCCTGGGGCACGCTCTGGGAAGCAGCCGGCAGCCAGAGCAGCCTCTGAGGGAATGAGCCTCTTCTCCAAGCAGTGCGTCCCCCACCCCCCATGGCTGCCCAAGACAAACAGCAGTGGAGTCACACACGGGCATTAAAAATATGTTTATCTTTAATGATCCAAGATTCTGCAAGACACACTGACATACCCAGGGCTGGGTGGAAACACCACATCTCAGCAGTGCCACTGCCAGCGGGAAGGGCGGGGTGCTGGCTGCAGGACCCCCTTGGTGCAGACTCAGTGACCTATCTCCATGGAAACAGCCTAGCACTGGGATGGGGCCCCAGGGATGCCTGCAGGAGCATCTCGGAGAGGTATTTCCCATTAAAAACCACCACAGGTGCCCTCCCCAACCCCCAAGCTACAGCCTGGCCTCCCACTTCCCTCGACCTCCACCAAGACAGGGTACCAGGGAGGATGGAGCCTCCTACTGGAGGAGGGATACAAGAGTTGTGAGGAGCTCTGTCAAGGCCCCGGGGCTGTGGCCAGTGGGGGTGCCATGACTGCGAGAGGGCTGGGCACTGGGGTGTACTGACTGGTGGGGCCACCACAGCCAGGGGAGACCATGGCAGGTCTAGAGCTGCCCAAGGTTGGCTCAAAGGGGACAGGGCTCAGGATGGCTTTCCAACCCCCAGAGGCCATCCCGCCTGAGCCAGAGAAGGTGCTGCCTAGATGCAGATGTGAGGTCAGGGATGTGGGGCCCACACACCTCCCTTCCCGGCCTGCCGGGACTGCCAGAGGTCCGGGCTGGGAAGAGCTCCAGGCAGGGAAGGCTAGGGCAGGGAGATGAGACAATCTGACGTGGCATCGAAGCAGACATCAGAAACAACCTTGATCTACACAGCTCCTCGGGTCAGAGGGGTCGCAGATCCTCCTGCCAGCTCACAACTGTGGGCTTCCGCCCCAGGGCCTGCCCAGTCACGTAGGTGGACAAAGCCGTGGCTGGCCTGGCCACCTTCAGGGGCAGCACTTGGAACTCAGAAAGGTCACAGAGGGCTGTCAGGCGGGGCGGCCATCCTCCCAGTGTCCACACCAGCCCCGCAGGCCCTGGGTACTGACCTCAGCCCGCGCAGGCAGTTTCCTTCGGGCTGAGTCCTGCAGA